TATCTGCAGGATTATGATGCCAATACAGTTTGTATCGGTCATTCTGAGGTTTTCCTTCATACATCTTAATTCTATTAGATGCCTCGTAATTGTACATCCTTCTTTCTTGTATAAACCTAAATGGTTTGCAACACAGATCATATAAGCAAACCTTAAATGGAGGCCCATATCATGCAAAAAAAAATAATGTTGTTGTTAGGCTCTGTACATTGTGCGTAGTTTTGGATTTATTTATTTTTACCCATGGCAAACTGATGAGTCTCACGTACTGTTCCGAGGTGCATTTTCTGCTTTTCAGTTTTACAAAAAAATATGCAGCATATTATCGGTAATGAATTCAGTATAACAAGGTGATTTAAATTAAATCAAGCATTTCCTGGTGAATCTCAAGAGTTTTCTGTGTGCTTGGCTTCTTTCCTTTAGGCAGCTGCCACTGCCACTTCGCAACAGGCAATGCTTGTCACTTGAAAAAAATAATAATCTGGGCTTGTGGCCAGAAGATGAGAGAGGCAATAGTGCAAAGGAGTCAATGTTTCAAAATGACAAAGCCCCGTATTTTGGTAATGCTCTCTGTGGAGCAGCTTCCCTCTGAAGAAAGGTTGCCACGTTTGAGACCTTTCAGTTTGGAGAAAAGATGGGCCACTGGCCTGATCCAGCAGGCTCTACTTATGTTCTTAAAGGAGAAAACAATTGCTTCGTAGCGATGTAAACAACAAGCTGGATACCATTTTCACAAATGTAAGAGACACCGAGAATCTTGTGCCAGTAATCATTGTTATCATCAAAGTGTCATTGTTCTTATTGTATAGAGGAGAAAGAATTGTCAGGAGGAACCTGTGGAGGAAGTAGGTCAATAACACTTTTCCTCATAGGAATTAGATTTCCTAAGCTTTTACCCAAAGTTATCCTAGAGCTTTCTGAGGAGCAGAAGGAAAGATCTCAGTTGAGCAAAAGCCAAGTTTACATTCAACAAGTTTACATCAGAATGACCCCCCCCTCCATTGGATCCTTTAACTATTTAATCAAAGAGAAATAAATCTGAATGAATAGAATAACTTAAAATATTTTAAAATTGACATAAAATTTAAAAATCCATTTCATATATTATTACAAGGTAATAACTGCTGAGAAGCCATATTTTCAGCCCATTTTCAGTGGGAATGGGGGAAAGCTAGGCACAGCAAAGTTGTTGACATCAGGTTGGTAGAGTATGCTGGGTAGGTGTCTTGTTTTGATCTGAAGAAGGAGCCTGCAGTGAGCAACCTGCTCTGAGAAGGTCTAGAACTCTCTACCCTCTTCCAGGCTATACCTGCTTTGGGAGAATTAGAGAACAACCATCTCTCTCCCCTGAATACAGGCACTTCTCTTGCATTCTGCGGTGTGCTGCCTGCTGCCTCCCTGTGCTGTTGGACTAGCAACAGACTATAGGAGGCACTTGATTCCTTAGGCTGCAGAGAATGTGCCTGTGAGGACCATTGCTCCAATTCTACAGGTCTGGATGCTCTTGCGTTTGGTTTGGTGAGCTCCTGCTTGCCAGCTTCAAGTTCAGTACCTCACTCCCCCAATTACATGGCTCCTAAGTCCATGTCAGTGTAGCTTCCAGCTCTTGCGTCCTTGTCCCTGCTGAACTCAGGGCAATGACAGTGGGATGGTCAAGTGAGACGTGATGGGTGACCAGATTGTGAGAAGGCAACTGGAGAAATTGAGTGTCACGGTTTGGCAGGAATCTACACAAAGGGCTGAATGGCAGAAGTGGAGGTCTGAGTAGGTCACAGAGCAATTCTGGGAAAAGCAGGTTCATCAAGGTACCAAAGAGACCTTCTTAGTACCACAGAGAACACTGGCAACCTGCTGCTCTCTGCTTTTGGTTGGAGGAATGCAGCTGAGGAACGTCTCCAAGTTGTCATCAGTCTTGGTTCTAGTTCTTCTAGACTTGCAACACAATAACTAAGCATGTAGAGCTCCTTGTTTGTGTGGCTATTACCTTCTCTCTGTCCACTTTACCATGATGTAAAGGCAGCAAACATATGATGTTGTCACTTCCCTTTGTGAGGGACCAGGGCCCCCTGGCACTGCACGAGTCTGGACAAGGAATTATGCAGGTTGCTGTTTTCTTTTCAGGCATTCATTTGTTTTATTTAACCATATTTTTACCCTGCACCCCCAGCACACAAGTGCTCCCTGGTGGAGCTAAGAAAAAGAATAAAAAACCAATACAAAATAAAAACAACACAATTACAAGAAGGGGACCACAGGTAAAAACATGACAAATGGAAACTTCCAAGGGATAGCAAATAAAACAGGTGCAGTAAAAGGTTTAAATGTTTAAAAGCCTGAGGAGAGTGTGGAAACCAAGCAAGCCTCCTCAGGAAGATCACAGACAAGAAGGCTTGCAGAGAGCAGGGCATGCGCTGTGCCTATCACACCCTCTATTGTGGTGTGTGCATTTCTTGTGTGGGTGCTATGTACATGTATGCTCTATGTCAGGAGTGGGAAATTTTGTAAGTCTAATAGCTGCATTCCTTTTTAAATTTTGTATTCTTTCTGTTGTTGTCATGTTTGTACTTGTTGCTAACAAATCAATAAAATTAAAAACAAAATTTAAAAAAGAGTGCTATGGGTACCTATCAAAAAATGGCTGCCATGGGAAGAATCACATAAAAAATTAGGGAGTACAGTCATTGCTGCTCCCCTCCTCCCCTTCACCACCTCATGGCTACCATGGGAAGTCAGGTGCATTCAGCTGGTTCTGATTGTGAAGATTATGCACACAAACACCCAGCCAGCCAGCCATGATAGGATGCTGTCGCCATCTAATAACAACAAGGAGCGTTACCCAGTACTAGGAAAAACATGTAAGATGGCCACACCACACACTGCATTACTCTCAGATAACAAAAACAGTATGTTTTACAGTAGGTTAAATAAATACATTACTTAAATAGAGGAATGTGCCTTATTTATGTCAACAATCAATAAGAGGTATTTATAGCAAAATAAGCTCAAGCCAAGAACTGAATAGGTGACTGTGTATGTCTGTGCCTTTCCTTACCTGGACATTAGCTCTGTATAGGAAAAGAAGCTGTTATGATGCTTCCCTAGGATTCTGCTTCAGCAGTTGTGTCTAAACTTTAGGGGTATAAGAATTCCAGGAGTGGTATTCAACTCAGTTTTATTCAGAGTCCATTAATTTCAATAGGCCTACTATTGAGTAAACCTCACAAGTGGAGAATAAACATGAACCAGGAGTATTGGATGTAGGAGTCTGTGTCATGAGAACTTTAACTTTCTTTTTTTTAAAAAAAATGCAACATCTCTGCAACTGCAGAGGGTGTGAGATAATGCATCGTGAAATTTCAGAACACAGAGGGATGGCTGAATAAGACATATTGTATTTCAAAGGGGTTGAATTTCATGTGCTTCATATCTTTGCTCCACCCCATGACTAGTTATAAACATTTCCAGATGTTGGTTTAATGTGCATACATGTTGCAGAACCCTGCTTTTTTCTGCACAGAGTTTGGATTTCTCTGGTCAGATCGTGAGGCATGAGAAGCCAAATATTAGGAAAAAAGCCGGTGCTGCTTGGCGTATTTTCCAGTGTGATCGTTGGGGATAGATACTTAGATATAAATCTATTGTGAGGGTTGAAGCAAATCTCTGCCCTAATGGGGAGTGTTAGTGGATGCTTCAAAATAAAGTTGTTTCAGCTTATAGCAGGGACTGAATCATAAGAACGCAGTCAGTGACCCTTGGAATGCATGAGGTTGGTTTAACATTCAGGAAGCATATTCATACAGTCACTGTGTATTTAACAATCCTTGGTTGCTGGAAGGCCCCCAAGTGCTTTTTGCAATAGCCCATTTCTGTGCTGGCTGGAGTAGAGAGAAAGAGAAGCAAACCATCCTTACTTTGTCTGGAGAACTGAAACATCTAACTCCATTCAAACCAGGTGTTGCTGCTGTCAGGAAGAAGTCCTCTCTCTGTCCCCATTCTTCCTTGCTAGTGCTTACATTTCAGAGTCTGAGTGCGATACTGAGAAAGGGTTATTTTGTGCCTACCTGAGTGGGGAAGAAGAGATTAAAACCTTTGCTTTTCCTGCCCATTGTTAAAGCTCTGCTCCACATCCCCGCACTAATCTACTTCTGCAGGCAAGCTTGTTGGCCTCTATGCAATAGGCATAGGTGTCAGCAAAATTCAGCCCTTCCAGGATGAGTTAGGGTGGCTGAGAGTCCCCAAGGTGGCCTCTCTGGTTAACATTTATTGCTGTTCTTAAAATTTCTATGCCTGCCCATCCGAAGATCACAGGGTGGTTTCCAATATAAAAACAGAAAACAAAAATAATACCCCCATACACAGTTAAAAAGGCCATAGATTGTTTAATTAGCCAAAGGCCTAGGCTAATTCCTTTATAATTAATTGATTAAATTTGCCCAAGGCCTAGGCTAATTTTTGCCTGGTCTGCAACCAAGACACCAGGCAAGCCTCCCTAGGGAGAGCATTCTGCAAGCAGGGAGCCACCACAGAAAAGGCCTGTTCTCGTGTTGCCACCCTCCAGATCTCTCATGGAGAAGGCACACAAAACAGGGTCTCAGATGATGATTGCAGGGTCCAGGTTGGTTCATATGGGGAGAGGCAGTCCTTGAGGTATTGTGGTCCTGAGCTGTTTAAGGCTTTATAGGTCAAAACCAGCACTTTGAATTGGGCCTAGAAACTAATTGATAGCCAGTGCATTTGGGTCAGGATTGATATCATAGAGCTTTAAGGTTTCTCTAGTCCAACAGGGTAGGCGCTATTTTGTGAAATTGCTTTTTCCCAGGCACAGAGCAACTTCGCAGTCAGGTCCCCATGTTTGTTCTGGGAACAAATATGTGGCTGCCCCTCTAGCAGTTGTCCAGCCCAGTGAGATATTTGCTCAGTTCCATGTCCATCAGAATTCTAAGTATGGTGGTCCAGGAAGGCAAATGTGACCATTATTCCTGTTTCTTTTCCCTTTGCAGCTCTTGTATGATAGCCCAAAAGCACGACAGGAAGTGGATCATCATTGGCGGGCTTCGGGCTGTCCACACATTGTCCACATCCTGGATGTTTATGAGAACATACATCATGGGAAGAGGTGCATCCTGATCATCATGGAATGGTATGGGGATAGAGCTAAATAGTTAGCTATACAAAATACATTCTGGAGATTTACATCAATACAAATGACAAAATTGACAAAATTTAGCCATAGATAAACATGGAGCCAATAGGCTTTCTTTTTGGGTTTTGTTTTTTTAAGCTGAGGAATGCTAGAAAATTAATCAAATAATAGCTCTTATTCAAACTGCCCCTGCTATTTTTTTTTGCAGTTTTTGCTGTCACCTAGTTATCTTGATCTGCCAGAAGAAAAAAACAGGGTAGCAATTGTTGAGCGACCTGGTACGGATAGTAGTAGAGGGGTAATAACCTCACTCCTCAAATCTTTATAAAGTGTGCTATCTAGCAATACATGAGCTACTGATTCAATACTGCCATCTCCACATGGACATAAATGGTTCTCCAGTGGAATGTGGCTTTACAGAGTTTTCTGGAATTATGGGGGGTGGGGAGGCCAGAATCTTTTTAAAAAAACAACAGCACAGAACCTTGAGGAAGGCAATGTGCTGTGCTGTGCTGTGCTATGTGCACCATTCTTCATTTGTCTTTTCTTTCATTATTCTCTGTGAGTGACAATTGTTACACACACACAAGGCTAGTCCAGTCCAAACCATTCACTGCATTGACTTTGATCCGTGACGGCACATGTTTGTGTGAGAGAAAACACCATTCTGGCCCTGAAGAAACAATAGCAGCACCTTGTGGTGATCCACTCCCTTTCAGAAGTTTGCATTGAGCTCAACCTTGCCTAACGTAGTAGGAAGCAGATATAAGAACATCCCTGTAGTTCTAGTTCCCTGTAGTTCTAGGCCTGTCTAGTTCAGCATCTGGTTTCCTACAGTGGCCAACCAGAAAACCCAACAAGGCAGAATTTGAAGGGCATAGCTCTCCCTGCTCTGTGGTTGATGCTGGTGTCTGATCTGATTGAACTGCATATTGCCATTCAGTTCATACATTTCCAGGGTGGTTTATCAGGCTTGCAAGAGGAGAGAGGAGAGGAGTTAAGCTTAAAGGAGGCACTAATGCCCTGTTGCCATAGGTCAGAGAAGCAACAAAATTGCCAGAGAAAATAGACGGTGAGAAGGTCTTAGCTGTGCTGGGGACAGGATAGCATAGAATCATAGAATTGTGGAGTTGGAAGAGACTCTGAGGATCATCTGGTCCAACCCCTTGCAATGCAGGAATATGCAGCTGTCCCATAAACGAGATTGAACCTTGGTGTACGGGGATCAAACCAACACCCCAACCACTATGCCATACTCTGGCTCTTGTTTGTTTGGACCAACTTTCTCCAGACATACTAGGAGGCTAACAATCCTGCTGTTCCTGAATAAATAATGTTGATATTCCCCTTGTGTTGCCAGGACAGGCTTTTCGGGGTTGTATGTTTGTGAAAGCTCCTGTAAAGACATGATGATCCTGTGCAGACATGATCTGAAATGGTAAATAAATGAATGTAGTTGAACTGCTGTTTTGGCAAGCTCTCAAAAACCTGGAGGAGATGCAGAGGGTGGAGTCAGTGCTGGTGTGTTGACCCCCCCCCCCCCGGCAATATATTGTTCAGAGCCAAATTTGTAAGCTGAACACTGAGTAGGTACATAGGAAACTGTCTGACTTGCATCAAAATCAGTGGAGATATAGGCAAGCCTAGCTTCCTGGCCCAAAAAATGTTTGCTCAGATCACATTTTTCCTCTTTATCACTATGTGGTTTCTTATGCAGAGTTTTGATAGGGCCAGCTTTGACTCTATCTTTCATTTGTGTGTTATCTTCCCCTCCTTTTGCTGCCTCTGTTGTTTTTCTCATACTTTCCAGAATTTTGATGGCATTAGAACAACAGGGATTACTCTTTGCCTTCCTGCAGTACTGTCTGATGTGCTCATTTCCAGTAGGGTCAACAAAGAGCAGTGATTCAGCTTTCTCTGAAGAGCCTGCCTCTATATTAAAACCGCAGGCTTTAAAGCTTTTTTGTGCTTTTTTTTGTTTGTTTTCTTCCTGCTCATTCATATGTAGGTTCCATTCTGCACACGGGCTACCTTAAAGCCCATTAATTTCAATAGGATTTAAGCTGTGATCCTGTGTGCTTTAAAGTAGATTAAATCCTATTGAAGTTAGTGTGATTAAAGTAGCCTGTGTGCAAGATTGCAACCTGGTCAAGAAGCAATGTGGTAGGAAATATATATGCAGTGCTTTTTTCTGGGGGGGGGATGCATACCCCTAAACATTTTGTGAATCTAAGTTTGGCCTCATTGAGGGGCAGTATTTCAATATGAGTAGGAAAATGAGAGTACCCCTAAACATTTTTTTAAAACAACAACACTGTAAATATGAAATATAATGTAACAAGTGGCTGAACTGAAGTTTACAGAGATATTGCTATGCTTGTATCTGAGGAGTAGGCAAAGGGAAGATTGCTGCCTTCCCTCCCTTGTACTTTTGTAGCCTTGCTTTCCAAGTATCTGAATGGCCCTAGAAAGCACCCCAAAGCTCTAAAACTCTGCAAGCAGGACACTTTGAATCCAATCAGCAACAGCTGCATTACAAGCATCATAGTTTCTTTATATCAGGGCTGTTTTAGGCATTTGAGCAACTGTGAGGCAAAATAGTTACTGAGGCCTTCATCTATGTCATAAGGCCATAGTAACAATGTCTTGGCTGCCTTTTAAGGATAATAAAGCTAATATTAGAAATGCACACAGCAGATAGGAAGTGGAAACAGCAGTATTCATATATATAAAAAAAACAAGCTACTGAGATGGGACCCCCTTTGTGCTTGCATTATGAATCCTCTGTGTGTTTGCACTTTGTTCACAGCATGGAGGGAGGGGAGCTGTTCAGCAGGATCCAGGAACGAGGCGACCAAGCTTTCACAGAAAAAGGTACAGCATTAAATTGTTTTTTCTGTGTGTGTGTGTGTGTGTGTGTATAAAGAGCTTGTAGATCAGGTGGGGGGCTAGTGGCTTTTTGTCAGAAAGAAAACCCAAATCAGTCTGGAACATATAATTTGGAGGGGAGGTGTACAACTCCCTCCTCTGTCAAGCTGCAATGGCTAAGTAGTGTGGAGCCAAGCCATTCACATGAAAGGGAGGCCCTACTGTGCTTTGCCCAGGAACTCTCAGCAGCTTCTTCTTGCCCAGGCACTTTGAGGAAACAGGTGAAGGGGCTTAAAACTTCACCAAAGATTTTTTTTACAATTTTTAAAAAGTATCATTGGAAATATAACAGGTAACGGGGGGGAAGTGACTCATATGTCCAAACAGGTATCCAAAGCAGACTGACGATTATAAACTATACCTTCAAACATAGAAAGTGCAATGAGATCTTTAGATCACTGAGTAGTAGATGGTAGGTGTTCATTCTTTGTGCTTTGCATTTTATATCTCTCTGCTCAAGTCTGAGGGCACAAAGGGCATTCAGAACCTTGCTATCAGTTTAGGTGTGAATTGGTTAGTCATACCATAGGAACAAGTAGTGTATACTGTACGTATGCACCATACATGACTTTCTGGTCATTTTTATGTTGCCTTCTAGGAAGGGTTCTGCAGAGCAGGAGAGTTTAAGATGTGTGGAGGCATAGTCATTTGCAAAACCCAAAACACTGCTATTGGGGCTAATTTTAGTTTTTCCCCTGTCTTGACACTAGCCCTGCAAACAAACAAGCTAGTTGCTAGTCAGAAGCATTGCCTAGCTGCATATCTCTGAAGTATCGAGGGAATGTTAATGTGACCTTTCTCATGAATTTTTATTTCTAGAGGCCTCTGAAATAATGAGAGACATTGGAACAGCCATTCAGTATCTACATGGGATGAACATCGCCCACAGAGATGTCAAGGTGAGGCTTGAAAAGTGCCTTGGCAGAGAAGAGAAATGCCTAAACCTTGACACAGGCCATGTTACTACACTGAGAGGAACTAGTGTGTCCCAGTTTTTAATTGTGTGAAGAAGAACCATCTTGGTCAGGATCCCAAGTATCTTCTAAGTATACAGTTGTCCAGAAGCTCAGTGCATTTTTAAAAGACCTATTGAAGAAGGCCTGATGTTTATTTAAAATCTGCACCACCACATTGCAATCTACTGATAATAAAATACAAACTTGATGCTGGGCACTACACCACCTATCAGCCTAGAGGAACGGAACAAAGCCTACAGTTGAATAGAACTTCCCCCCCAGAAACCTCTCCTGTTCAGCCTCATTTTATGTTTCTCTCTTGACACCATCACAGCCAGAAAACCTGCTTTATACATCTAAAGCGAAGGATGCAGTACTGAAGCTTACAGACTTTGGATTTGCCAAAGAGACGACGGTGCAGAATGCGCTGCAGACCCCATGTTATACTCCCTATTACGTAGGTGAGTCTGCATGTCCCCCTCCCCCCCCCACTTTTCTCTCTAGTTGTTAAGTCCAGGGGGAGAACATGATTGTGCTTTAGAAAAAACCCCTCCCCACCTCCCATTTTCAGATCTTTGCAACGGTCAGGCTCCAGGCTGTCAGGTACCAGGTAGGATCTTGCTTGCCAGTTCAAGTGGGCCAGATCTGGTGCATGGTTCAAAACAGATAGGATAGTGGGCTGGAGCTTAGGCAGCCAGTGTCCTTACCCAAGAAACAAGTTGATCAGGCTGAGGAACATGCTACGAGGCTAGGGCTTCACAGGGCCTAGTGAGCAGAAATTGACCCAGGTGTCTGATGACTCAGACGGGCTGATACTGCATCTTAGATGGCACCATCAAAGCACAGTGCTCAGTCTTCCCGGCATGGGATGAGAGCACTGATGGCTCAGGAAGTCAGGAGTCAAAGCCTGAGCATGGGGAACACCAATTAAGAAAAAATACCATGAAATGTTTGTCAAGCTTCACCAGCATCCATGGGCAGTTCAGGTGCAAACACTTAAAGTAATCTTTCAACCTGTTACAGCTTTTTTAATTTAAAAAAATGCAAATATTTGTAGTTTGTGATCAAAATAAGAGAAACTGACATTCACAGTTCTTTTGGTTCTCTTCCCCATCTCACTCAGCCCCAGAAGTCCTTGGTCCTGAGAAGTATGACAAATCCTGCGATATGTGGTCTCTTGGTGTCATCATGTACATTCTGTAAGTGTGAAGTGGGGGAGAAATAGATTAACGAAGTAGAGCCCTTAACATGTCAAGTATGAATAAACACTTCCCTTCTATCCCAAACTACACCCATCCCTAATCAATGGTGTTTTAAAATGATGTTTCCTTTTATGCCACACTCAGATAATTAAAGGTACCCCTGCCCGTACGGGCTAGTCTTGCCAGACTCTAGGGTTGTGCGCCCATCTCACTCTATAGGCCGTGGGCCAGCGCTGTCCGGAGACACTTCCGGGTCACGTGGCCAGCGTGACATCGCTGCTCTGGCGAGCCAGAGCCGCACACGGAAACGCCGTTTACCTTCCCGCCAGTAAGCGGTCCCTATTTATCTACTTGCACCCGGGGGTGCTTTCGAACTGCTAGGTTGGCAGGCGCTGGGACCGAACGACGGGAGCGCACCCCGCCGCGGGGATTCGAACCGCCGACCTTTCGATCGGCAAGCCCTAGGCACTGAGGCTTTTACCCACAGCGCCACCCGCCACCCGTGTTTTAAAATGATGTTTCCTTTTATGCCACACTCAGATAATTAGTCACTGGGAAATTACTCATTCCATCAGAAGAATCGACAGACATCTGGGACTGTGCATGGGACTGCTGAAGTTGTGGGGAAGGTCAGGGAGGAGACAAAGATGTGGTCATTTCCCAGACAGTACAATTTCTTCTCTACAACCCACTCTTTTGTAGCTTGTGTGGATTCCCTCCTTTCTACTCCAACACTGGCCAGGCCATTTCTCCTGGAATGAAGAGAAGAATTCGGATGGGGCAGTATGGATTTCCAAATCCTGAATGGTCAGAGGTATCTGATGAAGGTAAATGGATTCCCCTGTGTACTTTCTGGTACTTGTGCATCAATGGTGTGTGTGTTTAATGTTTTAAATATTCTGTGGTGAGACTGGCCCAGCATATATGCTACTTGGAGATCTCTAAAATAAAAGGAATGTAGCTCAGTGGTAGAGCGTCCACCTTGCATGCATGCAGAAGGTCCCACATAGGGCTGGGAGAGACCCCCGTCTGAAATTTTGTGGAGCTGCTGCTGCCAGTGGATCATACTATAGACCAGTGGTTCCCAGACTTTTTTTACCCCTGAGCCACTTGCAGATTGCTGAGGATCTTGGTGGACCACTTCTACCTGTTGTCTAGCAATTGTAATTTGTGTGCTAGATGCTAATGTTGCTATTGCGGACCACCGAAATGATGCTTATGAACCACCAAGGGTTCATGGGCCACACTTTGGGAAATCCTGTTGTAGATAGTACTGAACTAGATGTGCCAATGAACTAACATGATAGACTTCCTAAAAGGTTTTGTTAAACCTCCCAGAGTTTAAGAAAAGTAAACATCTGCCTCTTACACACTATGTAAAGAAGTTTCAGAAACGCAAAATACCATTAAATTAACTCTGCTTCTCAAATACCATTCCTTCAAACCCAACACTTACATTAGAGTGGAGATAAAAAAAGTGCTGCACCAGCAAATAAAAAGTGGACAGGAATGGGATCCCAGTAACAAGTGTTGTTCCAGGGCACCATCATGACTTCTGTGGTATTTTCCTTGTCTATTGAAGTGGCTGCACTAGTGCCTTGTTGACATGTGTTACAACTTGAGTAACACCTACTGCTTGCAGGCATGATGCTCCCTAAACAGATTTTGTAGCAGAGGAATGAGGCAGCATGTGTATGGCATCGTGAGTAGCCTACTGATGCATGACAGTAGAGTCATTTTGCCACCTCCGGGCCAGCTTTGTTTGTACAATCTTAGGCATCTGATAGTTGCAGCTGATGTACATAATGGGTGAGCCATCCTTAGTTCACAGAGAAGCTGCAGCAATTACCTTGATGCAGGTCACACTGTACTGTCACAACTATGTTTAGCAGTAATAGAAAGCCCTGTCATCCATCTAACACAAGAAATCCTGCACACCCCCAAATCCTCTTTCCTGTTAGAAACTCCAGCTCCTTTCTGAGCTGTCCTAGGGATAGCTTCAGGGAAATGTTGTGTCTTGCTTGGCCAGCAGAAGGAGGTTTACAGGACTCCTGTGTAATCTTGGACATGAGCACCTCATTAAGAGAGTGAGTTGAGGGAGCGGGGAAATGTGTGGGAAATGCCTCCTCCTTCTGCCACCCTGAGACACCTGTGATCAATCAGAACCTCAAACCTAAGTTGTTGGTCACTACAGTCATTGTTAGGAATGAATCTCACTTTAGCAGTGTTCCTAAGTCAGAATTGAAGGGCTGATTCAGGTATGCATTAGTCGGAGTGCAGATGTGAGGTATCCAAAGTCAGACCCATGCGCTCCAAGGGTTTATTTCAAAAGCATGGATCAGTACTCCACACGTTATTTGTTTAGCAGAAATTTAGAAGCATAAGCCGTTCCTGCATTTAAAATTCTGCTGATCTGTTATGTCAAAATCAGAATTCACTGCGCTCCAGGCTCGGAAAATGTCATGAATTCTAACCTTTCTTTTTTTTTTTTTAAATATTTTATTAAGGATTTTCTTGTTTTACAGAAGTGTAGTGCCTCATATATATTTTTCCCCATGTAACATTTTTACAAATCCGTTTCATTTGTTGAGGCATTAGGGGGAGAAGAAAATAAAAATAAAAAATAAAAAGGAGAGAAAAAAGAAAGGGGGGTGGAGAGGGGGAAGATGGATAAGGGTGGGATTGGGTGGCGGTGTTTCTATTATGTTTAATGTATGTAGAGTTTGGTGTCAGCGTGCTTGTGTTGTTCACTTGTGTTCCTTTGGTGGTGAGAGAGGTTGGGGTTGGCCTAGGGTGTGATTGTTTGCTTGTGATTGGCTGTGGTGATCTTTTGTTTTCGTGTGTGAGTGAGGTGGGTGGGTGTTTTGGATCAGGTTAGCCATATTGATTTGTATGCTGTTGGTGGATTATTGTCATTGTCCTGTTGGGCTGTGTGTGTGATAAAGGGGAGCCATACCGGGGTGAAGGCATCTTCTTCTGTTTGTCCCCGTGTCAGTTTCAGTTTATTAGTTAATTTTTCTAGTAGGGCTGTTTCCCATACTATTTGATACCATTGGTCCATGCTTACTCCTGACAGGTCTCTCCAGTGTCTGGTTATGGTGTTTCTGGCTGCTGAGAGCAGGTGGGTTATGAGTTCTTTGTGGTGTAAATGGGCATTGTTGTCTTGGAAGATGTTTAGTAGGGCCAATTCTGGGGTGGTGTCTATTACTTGCTTAGTTATTTTACAAATTTCTTGTATGGCTGTTGTCCAGAATAGTTGGATTTTGGGACACTCCCACCACATGTGGAAGTATGTGCCTGTGGAGGTGCACCCTCTCCAGCATTTTGGTGAGGTTCCTGGGTGTATTAGCGCTAGTTTCCTTGGTGTTAGGTACCACCTGTAGGTGAGTTTCAGTGTGAGTTCTTTTCTTTTCGTTGATATGGATTTAAAGGGGGGTTTAGACCACATTCTGGTCCATTGAGTGGGGTTAATCTCATAGCCTATGTCATTCTCCCATTGTTTTTTGATTGCGTCTAGCGGATTTGCGGGATTTTGGAGCAGTATTTTGTATATTGCGGATACCATCCCTTTACCGTTTCCCTTTGTTGTTAGGAGGAGGTTTTCGAAGGTTGTCAGGGGCCTAGTTGCTGCTGATTTTACTGTTGGGTTGTTTAAGAGGGCATGTAGTTGGTGTTGTGTTAACCAGGGCATTTGGGTGTCTTCTAGTTTGTCTTGTATTTCTTGTGTTGACAAGGGTTTGTTGTTTTTATAGAAGTCTATTAGGCGATATAAGCCTTTGGTTCGCCAGGTTTTTATCTGGAGGTTTTGTGCTGCATGGTGGAATAATGGGTGGTACGCCAGGGGGATTAGTGGGGATGGGGTTGGGGATAGTTTGCCTATTTGTGTTTTCCATGCTTTGAGCATGGTCTGTGTGTACCTGTTAAGTGTTGTGGGAATTTTCCTTAGTTTGTCTGGGAGGAGTGGGTATGTTGTGGTGCAGGTGTTTTCAATTGTGTCCCTCTCTAGGTGTACCCATTGTTTTGTCTCATCTTCTAGTATATATGGGATTATATGGCGTATTTGGTTGGCAGTGTAATATGCTTCTATGTTGGGGATTCCCCATCCTCCTTCTGAGGTGGGGAGGTGCAGGTATTTGGGGCTTATTCTTGGTTTTTTATGTGAGAAGATGAAAGAGTGTAGTTTTCTCTGCCAACTGTGAAGTTGGGTTGAGGGGATCCAGATTGGGAGGGTTTGGAATAGGTAGGTTAGTTTTGGGAGTGTGGTCATTTTGATCATGGCTATTTTGTCTGAGAGAGTGAGGTTCATGTTATTCCATCTCTTTAGGTCTTTGTTAATTTGTCGCCACAGGGGCTTGTAGTTGTGGAGGTATAATTTATTGAGGTTTCTGGTTATTTGTACCCCTAGGTATCTGAACTTGGTGTGGCAAAGTTTTATTTTGGTGACCTTCGTGAGTTCTTTTTGGGTGTGAGGAGGGGTGTTGAAGCACATAGCTTCTGACTTTGTGAAATTTACCTGTAGGCCCGACACCATTGCAAATGCGTTGAGTTCTCTGATTAGGGAGGTTGCTGTGCTTATGGGGTCTGGTGTTGTGACCATTAGGTCATCTGCAAAGAGCCCTAATTTATAGGTTCTGCCTTTTATTTCCACTCCCTTGATGTCTGTGGCTGCTCGGATGCGGATTGCTAGGGGTTCCAGAGCCAGGATAAATAAGAAGGGAGACAGTGGGCATCCTTGTTTCGTGCCTCTTTGGATAGCTATAGTGTTAGAATCCATATTGTTAGTTCTGCATTTTGCTGAGGCTTGGGAGTATATTTGTTTGAGGATTTGTAGGAAGTTGGGGCCAAATTTCATGTTAGTTAGTACTGCTAATATGTATTTCCACTCCAAGCAATCAAAGGCTTTGAGTATGTCTAGGGACATAATTGTCAATGGGAGTTTGGTTGCCTTGCTGTGTTCGATCAGGTTCAGTAGTTTCCTGATGGGGTCTGTTATATTGCGGCCAGGGACAAAGCCAGTCTGGTCTGGGGCTATTAACTTGTGTAGGAAGATTTTTAGGCGGTTGGCCAAGATTGATGTGAATATCTTGTAGTCTTGGTTTATTAATGAGATTGGGCGGTATGATTCTACTTTGAGGCTGTCTTTTAGTGGTTTTGGGATGGAGACTATTTTGGAGTGGGTCCAGGTTTTGGGGATGGGGCCCCCTTTTATGATGTCGTTGAATAGGCGGGTCATGTAGGGCATCAAGGGTTCTTTGAATTTCTTATAGAATTCTGCTGTGAAGCCGTCTGGGCCTGGGGCTTTGTGTGGTTTCAAGTTTTTGAGGACCGCATCTATTTCCTCTGGGGTGATAGGGCTATCCATGAATTCCTGTTCCTCATCAGTTAGGGTAGGCATGGTCAGTCCTGCTAGAAATTTTTTGATTTCCCTCTCTGGTGGGTTATGGGAGGTGTATAGGTTGGAGTAAAATTCTGCAAATTCTGAAATTATTTCTTTGGGGGAGAATGTTATGTTGCCGTCTTTTTTGGTGATGCAGTGTATTCTTGTTTTGAGTGCTTTTTTCCTACATCTATTTGCTAGTAATCTGGAGTTTTTCCCTCCATATTCATAGAAACGTTGTTTAGAGTATAGAATGTTGATCATTGTTTTGTTGATTTCTAAGGAGTCTAGTTCTTTCCTTTTCTGTTCTATAAGTTTGAGGAGTTTTTTAGATCCTGTTTGTTTGTAGCGTGATAAGAGGACTGTGATGTCTTGTTCTATTTTGCTAATTTTTGAGGAGGTTTGTTTTTTAAGGAATGTTTTCTCTTTTATGCAAGCTCCTCTGGTGAC